CCCATAGGTTTTTGAAGAGCTGTTATGAAGCTCAGTTTGGTCGGCTCTGGCCATCGCCATCTCAGTAGTCCTGATTCCACCAGCTGCTGGCTAATCCAAACATAGGCAAAGGTGGAGCTGAGGTGGGCTGAATGAAGCCTGGTAACTGAAAACATCCACCTATGATGGCACCCACCTGTCAATCAGAGCCAAAACTGCCTTTATCTTGCAGAACTTTACGTCTTCATATAATTTAAATGTGTGTGACAAAAATTCACCCAAAACTGGGACCAAAGACCAAAACTATTTTTTGAACCAGGCTGTTGTGCCGTGACATTGGGCATTTTAATATGGGACCTTATGACTCACTTCAGGTAGCCAGCCTTTAGTTCAAGGAACTGTAGTTCTTGGCACTTCTGTGTTGGCTTCATTTGTCAGCCACGGAGGTGGAGGTGCTGCCTGGTATAGAACTGCCCTTGCTGTCCATGTGCAAGTTGTTCAGATTCACCCTGTTGGGGACATAAGTTTCCTCCTCCTTATTTGCAATACCTGATAACAAGAAGGAAGGCCACAACACTGTCCCTCGATTGTCCCTTGGCAGAATGTTGATCTCACACCAAGTTGAGTCCAACAAGAACATTCATTCTTTTCTTTTTTGCCTGGAGTGGTGCAAGTTAGAGCAATATTTGTAAATTTATGATAAATATGACCCATGCACCGGAACTTATAAGTGTGAGTGAATGAAAATTGAAAAGCGCTTTGGATTAAAGCACTATAAAAATGCCTGATAAGGGCATCCAAGGTAACACTGTGCCTAACATTTTCAGTATCCGCATTGACATTTCTATTTTGTCACATCAAGGGTTTAGATTTGCTTCTACCTGTGTCAGTGAATTTGAGGCGCTCTCCCTTTCAAAGAGCATCACAGTTATGATTTGGTGCTGCTTACACTGCTTACATCTCCTCTGTGAAATGTATTTAAAATAAGCCTCACAGAGGAGTTTCCACTGCTTTCAACTGTTCTGATGCATTTTTTATGCCTCAACCATTTACAGCTTCAAAAATCGCTATGCAGTGTTCAAAGTATTTTATGTCATCTGCCAGAATTGAGGAGGCCATAAAACAGTGATGCAGTGGTTCATTTAGCCAATAATTAACATCTTTACTACTATGCGTCCATTTCAGTCTGCACAAGTCTCCAAATGACACGAGTCAAGTCAGGACAAGTCACTGGTGCAGCGTTCAAACAGTGAGTGATGTCAGCCGTCAGCTTCCCTCATGTGGATTATGTGGAGACGGCGCAGTGGTTATTTGTGTGCACCTGTAATGTAGCACGGCGGTTAAATGGGAGAGGAACCATATATCACATTTATCAACTGGCTGTTTACTGCAGCAGGTAGCGCGCTGGCTAGCCATCGCTAATCATATCCTGCCCCTCAGGCTACACCCTAATCACCTCTTTAACTCCCTCCCTCACTTTCTCCTCCTCAGTCACTCTCCCCCTTTTTATCTTTTCCTCTCTCCTCTTCATTCTTTTCTTCTTCTCTTGGTTTCCCGTTTCTCTGACCCATCCCTGCCATACATCACAGTACACAGGCTTCTGAAATGGCTCATCCCTCTCGCTTCCCCTTTTCTTTGCCCCATCTTTACTCCCTCTGGCCTCTCTGCTCCTCACCTTTTCCAGATTCCTCCTTCATCTGTCCCTTCTTATAATCCCCCCATCCTTGGTCTCCCATCTTTGAACCATGGGTGCATTGAACCCTCTTCAGTCACTCCCACTTCTCCACAGCACCCAAAGGAGTTTGCAGCTCCATGGCTCGGCCTGTGTGCCGATTGGAAAAGTAGGGACAGGGAAGCAGGGGAATGATAAAAGGAAATGAAATAAGAGCGGCCATCCATAGAGGTCAATTTTATAGGACTACCTGCATGGTCTGCGGGGAAGAGGGGAAGAAACAGAAAAGTGGGGGCAAAATGAGAAACAGCAACAGTTGGAGACTATTAGCGCTCAGCCTTCCTGTGGCTGACACTGAGGGAAGAAGAGAAAGACGACAGATTGAAGCAGACAAAGGGACATTTAAAGGGAGACAAAGCAGTCGAGACACAGCAACAGAGAAGGAGGGCTCAATGCACTGCAGAGACAGCGTGCTAAAGCAAGTAAAAGCCAGGAGCATAAAGAAAAGGGGATAGTGTACGGAAGAAAAGGAGGTTGCTAACACAGAAAGATGCAAGACTGGCAGGTTGAGGCCCCAAATAAAGTGGTGTCAGGAAGCAGCTCTCGAGTAAATGACAGCGGAGGGATGGAGTAGATGGCTAATGAGCAAACAAGCAGGCAGGGGAGAGCTAAAAATCAAAGAATGACAAACAAACTGAGTTTGAAGTTGGGAAAATGTCACCTTTCACTGTAAAGACAATGCCAAAGATTAGAACGGTGACAGACGAACAAAAGCACCTGACAGTAGGAGAGACTTTGTTCATTTGTATTCATGATAACAGCGACAGTTGACAGCAATGAAGCTCCAGTGAATGAGGAGAGCCAGCTGCCTCTTTGTGTGTGTGTGTGTGTGTGTGTTGATTAATGATGTACATTACCAGACACGGGAGGTCAACAGCTACAGGAGAGGAAAATGACCGGCGCGGGTTAGCATAATGCTAATGAGATGAATTGTGCATTACCGCTTAGCTGTTAGCTGTGCTGTGTTAAGGAACTTGGATGTGGAGTGATGAGAGTTAAACCACTGTGAGATGTTATGTGCTGGAGGGTGTGTGTGTGTTTTTCATCTACTGTATGTGTGTTTGATTTATGTATTGTCAAAGTTAAAATATGTTGAACTTGGTCTTTTGCTTTGTGCGTATTTTCCAGGTGTGTCCTTCAACAGTGTGTACACGCAGATCTGGAGGGTGCTGCTACATCTCGCCGCAGACCCCTTTCCTGAGGTGTCGGATCTGGCCATGAAGGTCCTCAACAGCATAGCATACAAGGTACACTGTGGATTTTGTGAAAAAGCACATCTTCATCTTAAAGAAATGTTCATGGAGGAGCCCAAGGTTTGAAGTTAAGAGGCGTTGTCAGGGTGTGCTCCTTTAAGGGTTGCTTATAATATTTAGGATCTCAGATTTGAAGAGTTTTTTTAGTGCTTAAAAGTCTCTTCCTATTTTTTTAGAGTGTAATATAATGGGGGGTGTTATGATTTATGTTTTGTCTCTATATCCATGTGTCAGTTCCTTTTCAGGACATGGTTATGCAGTGAAAAAGAACTGTTTCCAGCACACACACGCCCCACCCTCCCACTGGCATTTTCTTCCTCCAAAAGGCCATTACTTCTGTGCAAATGCAATTAACGACCAATGACTCCCTCAGGCTTGGCAGAGCAGAGCCGAGCAAAGAGGCTGCCGTAACTTAAGGAGCCATAATAACCACTATAGTCCACCACCCAATCTAATCCTTTGGCAAAATGTCTTGCATTTTCTACCACCAACACCAATTGTCCCCTTAGTTATCTTCAGAAGAGCTGCATCTCTCCTGTCAGACTCCCTAAAGAGCTGCAATAAAAAAAAACAACGGGACTTACACTATAATGCAATAGACTTCTCTTCTACCAACTAATACACTGTGCTCTGTGTAGCACCGCAACACATTTCTGTAATATTAGTTTGTGTGTACCTGCAGACCTAAAGTCAACTGAGCAAACTGTGGTGTCACATTTATACAAATTACCACTCTGACAGCCAGCATATGGCAGCAAACTGGTTTTCAGCAATGCTATAATCCCAGGGCAGACAACTGAAACAGACACAGACAGAATTCAATCGAACGCCTTCCCTATACCTACTGCGTCATCTTTAGGGGTCTGCTAATAGTAAGAGCTGTAGATTTTAGGCTTGAGACGAAACTTGGGACAGAATTGGTTGATTAAAATGAGGACTTGACCTTTCACTGGCTCAAGACTTGACTTGGACCTGGTAAGATATCCATCAACAGTAAATAGTAAGAAAGTGACAGGTATCCCATCCATTGCCACACAGCTTGAGTATTTAATTAGTGGTTCCATGCATTGAAAATATCTTGCTGAGCTACATAAAGAACTATTAACACAGACAAATGACATTCAATGGAGACATGTAACTTGGGCTTGTCTCAACTGACGTATGACTTCACTTGAAACATGATTCGGTATTGTTTTGATTGAATAGAGACTTGGCTAGGGGCAGACTGGCTGTCTCTCCTTGTAGAAGTAGTGCAAGGCTCTAGGTGGCATCTTGTGGGATTCAGGGTGAGTTAAGTGTTTTGAACCATTCTCCAATTAGATCTATGTGCTGCATAAGTCATAACCATATTTAGGGCTCTAGTAGATCTTGTGGGTCTTGTTATGTGTTAAATATCCCCTGACAGGAAGTACCCTTCAGAATTGGGTTGGCACTGCACTGTGGTACACTTGTATTGCTGATCTTATTCACAATAGGTCTAGTTTTAATGCGGAAATGTTACATATTATAGCTTTAAAAGCAGCTCTGCTACTGGCTTCTGCTGAATGACACTGAACTAACAACCTGAGGGGATGAGATCACACACTATGCTATAGCTGTGTAACCAGAGCCAAAGAAGAGTCTAGCTTCCAGTGGGTCCAACAAAGTTGTATAGTATACACCACGTGGTGCCAGTGTCATTAATGTCATACATACCACCCTGACATGAAAACAGTGATGAGGGATTGAAGCTCTACCAAAGAACAGTTTGACATTTAAAGAGGAATGACAATCTAAACACCTTTTAAATGCCTTGTTGTCCAAAGTTGATAAGTTATCATAGCTGGAGTTCGCTTTTTTTCTTGCAGGGAGCTCATCAGAGACAGCTTAATCAGAGAACATTCATCCAAGGTTCACAAGTGTTAACATGAGCCTAACTGGGAACTCAGCTCTTTTAATTAGGATTTTAAATGTCAAATGTTATTGATTTGTAACAAAGTGAACAAGGTCAGCAGCTAATTAAAATTTATTTCTCAAATGATGAAAGTATTAAATGCTTTTTTAATAGCCCCCTCTTGCTGCATGACACTGGGCTGGAAGTCGTGTGTTTTTTTTTAATCCTGATATTCTTGCGGGTCCAGTCTTTTCATTGAAATTCTATTGTTTTCACCTGACAAGGAGGTACAAGGCATCACCAATATACAGTCTGTACTCTCCTACTCACTGTAATGAGAATGAAATGAGTGGTCATAGCCAAGAGTGAAGAGGCTTATTTCTCTCGTCTGACGCAGCAGATATCCCCTCTCACACACTTACCCATGACACTAAACATCATCCCTCCATCAGTCCACACACTCTTCCTTGACCAATTCCTTCTCTCATTCACCACTTCCACATCACCATCATTCATCAAGGTGGTGTTTGGCACTTTCTCCACCAGCTGAGCATCTCAGACGCGCCTTTCAATAATTTAACAGGAATTTTCCGAGATTTTTCTGAGCTGTCATCAGCTTTCACTGCCGCATCCTACCAGAACCCTTGCTAACACATGCACACTCACTAACTTGTTTGCTCACTTGACTCGCTTTCCAGCCAATTAATGATGGAGGAAGTGAGGGGAAGCGGGTTGAAACAGGAGAGCAAGCTGTTTCCCAGCGTGAAGCGAAGCAGCTGGTAGGACCGATTACCCCCGTTTCCTGTTAATGTGGGACATTTGCATATCTCGTTTTCTGGAGAGCTTGTCAGCAGATAAGGCGTGCGCCGTGCGGCCTCCCCGCGTTAGTGCGATGTTTAAATACCACATGTTGATGATCAGCAAATGTTGATGAATTATCCATGAACATGTTGCATAATCGAGTCTTTAACTAGGGATGCTCGATATTGGCTTTTCTGCCGATATCCGATATTCCAATATTGTCCAACTCTCAATTTCCGATACCGATATCACCCGATACCGATATATGCAGGCTTTTTACACCAAAACTGTTAGGTAACAACATA